TCGGTCAATAACCACGCTACGTTTTCAGATATACGAAAACTGCGATTTTTAGTAGCTACTGAAGCTTTTTTATTCACTCAAAATTGATATTTACAATAAGCTTTAGGCGGAAAATAAGAATGTTACACATTTTTGGAAAACGGGCGTAGCCCCGCCCCTTATAGTCTCGTTAACCGCTCCACTAATTTCTACTAAGCTGTTGGGCCTGGTAAAGCATAGCAAACAGGTGAAAATTTTTAAAATCGGATAATAACCAAGCACGAATAAATCAGTAACTACTGAAGCGAATTTATTCAAAATTGATGTTTGCAATAGGAATTTTATAGAGAAAGGAGATTTTAAAATATTTGAGCAAAGGTCTGACTCCATGGAATCCAGATGCGCAGCGGCACTAAAAAATCGAGGCTACCCAACTACAAAATATTAGTTTATTTTTAGTTTTTTAAGGTTATGATAACACTTATGGTTAGCTATTGTTGAAATAATATTAAAATTGACTTGCCTTCAAAATGAAATTACAAATTAGTAATACCGTCGTAAAGTGTGCACAATGCTCTAAATCTGTCAAATATTCATAATAGAGTTCCTTCCTTCCGCATTTCAGAATTTCCGCATCCTGCAACTTTCGCACTTGCACTTATACAATTTAGTGCAATGAAATCATGCTGGGATTTCAAAATGCAAGCGGGACATTGACATCGAAGAAAACGAGTTTTGGTTTCACATGAAAAACTAATTAATTGTAAATGCAATCCAAATTCATTAACTCCATAATTTCTCGAAACGATTTGGACATTTGACTAATTCGATTTATCGAAGTAGTGGCCAGTTGGTAACAAGAAACAAAACTGATTAATTAAATTGGTTATGAAAAGGAAATGTGTTTAATGCCTTAGAGTACACAACTGTCAAATACACAAATTTTTAAAAGCAAACTCTTTAACATCTTGTATGTACTACCATACTTTACTGAGTGACTATACTATACATGTGTATACATAACTGCATTTCAAAAATGTTTGTGCTTTAAAAATTACAAAAATCAGTGAACTTGAATTTAAATGAATCGTTGTTCGGTAAAATACATTTTTTTGCGCCCATACTGGTTTAATATGTATATTCAGAAGAGTGTGGTATTTATATTTATCTTACATTGAATCGCAATTATTTAAGGTCGAAAGACTGAATGCACATTATTCGACTCAACACGAGAATGTTTCCCATGTTGTTACAAACACATTTACATACATACGCATTTCAATAAACATTTATACACCAGTGGTAGCCAAGATTTTTATGTATGCATGCATGCATGATAAAGATTTTCTTAAATACACAACGTCGCCTGGGTAAAAGATTGTCGTAAGCGCAATTTTGACGATTTTGAGTTATAGATGCAGTTATATATTTTTAAATAAGGTCTTTCGATTGGTGTTATCTGTTTTTACATACCTCCTTTAGTTTCCGAGATATTGACTAAAATTTTTTCGATAATTTAGTAAAAATTTAGTTAGTGATGCAGTCATATTAAACTAATCAATATCTTAAAAATGGCGTTCTCCATTTTTGGATATCTCCTTTAGTTTCCGAGATATTGAGTATAAAGTGTCGTAAATTTAGTAGAAATTTTGATCACATTTTGTCGTATTTCATACAATGTGGCTGCCAAATTGTGGACAAATGACGCTTACGACAAAATTTTACTAAATAAAATCCTTCATAAACTCAAAACTAATTAACAATAAACATTAAAAATTAAATAATTTAAGAATTTTGTGAACTAGTAACATTTTCAGAGACTCTGGAGAAAATCTACCTTCGCGTTTTTTAGGAATTGCACTCCAAACTTCAATCGCGATTTCCCACAACCTGCCGAAATCAACATACGACAATCTTTTACCCAGGCGACGACAAGTAAATGCGATTAATAAGAAATGAAAGAAACCGCATGGACGGCAGCCTAGTTGAATGACTGAACGATTGCAAGCAATGATTTCAGTCAAGTACAAATTAATATGTACAAATGATAGCATACATACATAGTAGGGTGATTGACTCGGTTTTTCCAAACCGGGTTTTTCGAAAAGTTTTTGGGCGGTTTTCTACGAATATCGAATAAACCGGAGTTTTGTTACCGAATAATATATTTATACAACTACATACATCTTAAGTAGTAAAGCTGTAAATTCAATATATACATAGTTCTTATTTAATTTTTTTCTGAAGCGTGTTTTGAAATATGTAAATTGTAAATTTGCTCAAAAATCAAAGAAGGTATGCATTAGGGATGTCAATCCCGGGATCCCGGTCTTTTTTAAGTCCCGAATATCCCGGGATTAGTCGATTTAAATCCCGGGATTGCTGGAAACAATTTATTTGTTAGCTAATTAAATTTTTATCACAAATATCCCCTCTCAAGGGCAAAACAAGAATTTTTCGCAACCCTTAATGCTATAATTTCTTTAAGATCGCATTTCCATCAAAAGAAGGAATAATTTTGCTTCGCTCAAAATGGAATAGGCGTTGCACTTATATATTTATTTTTTACTTAAATGTGTTAACTTTTTTATTATTACTTAAATATACTGATAATATCTTAAATTGATCTCAAACAGTGATTTAAAAAATTTTATATAGTTACATAGGTAGTTACTGCTGTACCAAATCAGTCACTTACAAAAATATTTTGCATAGATTTTTTTTGCAATATTCAAAATATTTTTCATGGTATTTTTTGTTAATTAAAAAAATATATAGCTCATTTTACAACAAAAATCATGTAAATCAAAATTTCACACTTTAGAGAAAGTTGGTTTAAGTTCACCAAATTATCATAAAAATATCAAACGTTTTAATCATAATTTTTACAACAAATTCTATTATGCAGTTTTATAGCCCATTCAATTTAATACAATAAAGTGCAATTTTAAAGTTGCTAAAAACTCCCTTGATTTTTGAATTTTTTTTACTGACGATGTTGGGCATTTTCTTCTTTATAACGAATTTTTTTGTGGCAAAAAAAAATATAAAATGTTAACGGGATGTTTTAGCAACTTCAAAATTCCACATACATATATATTTTTTTAAATTAACAAAAAAAAAATACCATGAAAAATATTCTTAATATTGCAAAAAAAATCTATGCAAAATATTTCTGTGAGTGACCGTATATGCATTTGTACTTGTAGTACAAAAACTATGTTATAAATTAATGAGAATATGTACATACATACATATATGTTTGTCAAATTCAATGTTTGTTTTTTGTTGATTGAAAATACTTATTTATCGCCTTAATAAATATGTAAATGAATTACAATAAATTGTACTTTTTTTTTTGTTATATCAATCTGATTTACAAACAGTGACTCAAACAAATGACCACGTGTTTATTTTTTAAATATTCGTAATGTTTTTCGAGCTAATTTTTTTTTGTTATTATTCTATAAAAATATCATCCAAGCTTTAACCAAAAACAAACAAAATTTAGGAAAATTCAGCAAATTTTCATCAAAATTTCAACTTCTTAGCTCATTCAATTTTAGTCTAATGAAGTGCAAGTTTCAAACGGCTAAAAAATTGCGTTGATTTTTGAGAGTTTTTTTGGAGACTGCTTTTTTCCGTTTTTTTTTTTTAATACGTGCAAATTACAAAAACTGGAGTTGATCTTTTGAAATTTTTTCGCTAACGGTCTCCCGCATTTTATTTCATAAGAAGTTCATGCTTATATAAAAAAGTGCAAAAATCCGGAATTTTTTAGCCGCTTGAAACTTGCACTAATTTTATGGGCTAAAAACTGTATATCCAAAAATGTTCTAAATATTGAGATTGAAAAGTTGAAGTTTTGATGAAAATTGGTTGAATTTTGCATCAAGTTTTAAACAATGATTTATATGTTTTAGGTTAAAGCTTGGACGATATTTTTATAGAAAAATAACAAAAAAAAATTCAGCTCGAAAAACATTATGAATATTAAAAAAAAAAATCAACGCGTGGACATTGTTTGAGTTGTTTGTTTGTTGAGTCGAGTTTCTTCGTGAGGCTGGCGATACTTTGACACAACTCCGTTCTGTACATTTCGAAGGTATGTAAATTCCATATTTATTTTGGTATAACAACTGTATGAATTGTTCAAACTTTGATTGCGTTTTCCCACAAATTTTAAGAGCCTTATTCTGTATCACGAACGATAGGCAACGCGAACGATTCGTCTGCACAGGAAAGCTTAAAGAAATTAGTCCGTTCGTGTTGCCTATCGTTCGTGATACAGAATAAGGCTGTTAATTTTTAAATAATTCTGTATGTTATTACACGTGCGGTTTAATGAGCCTGCCGTTAGATGAGAATGAAGACAACATAACATGTAGTCGATTCACTGATTTACAGATTTTAGTAAGCTGTTACAGAAAAACAACAGTAAAATATTTTCGATCGATTTTCCCTTTACTTTTTTACGTAATTTTTCTGCAGTCGAAAATTTACCAGTATTCAGGTATAAAATTAATAAAAGTGTTCTAGTTCTATTTTCAATAAAAATAAGTATAAGTTTTAAGATTCCGGTATATAAATAAACTAGGCGACAACACGGCTTATCTATCTATATATACACCGAAAGAAAAGTCTCAAGTAAAACTAACATTTCTGTATTATCAATTTTACATTTCGCCAAAAAATGTCATATTAACATTGAAAATGATCAAAAAAACAGGTTTCACGTTTAATTGGTATGAAAACTGTTAAATCAACATTGGCA